TCTCAGTTTAAAATATGGCCATCCTGTAATAATACCACGTTGAATCAGAACTTTTTTAAGCATTAAAATGACTAAGCAGGAAAAAAACCAATCAACCAACCAACCCAGCCTCAGACATTTGCTGATAACTGCAAAGCCAGTCCCTGAGAAACACACTGTCCTCTCCAAAGCCATTTGGGGTAAACGCCTTTTCTCTGCTATATGCCTGTATGTTTCAAAGCCATAACCTATTTTTCCTTAGCACAGATAACTCCCACTAATAAACCAAGACAAACTCAGAATGTATCCAAGTATGGATGAATGTCTTGGAAGGGCAAAGAAGGCTAAACACCACCCCCTCCTCATCCCAATCTCAAAAGTAGATGATTTTTCCTTTAAGGAATTCTACGTAATCAGTAGAAAATCCAGACCACAGCCAACATAAAGATCAGAAGAAGCCAAGTACTCTTAATGGTGCAATAAAGTTTCTGCCAAAAATGCACACAGCAGAGTCTTGGAAATACCATATTTCTTGCTTTCGGCAACCTAAATACCATATAAACAACAAAAATGATCAAATGCTATTTTAAACTCAGAGCTTAAGTAGAAATCAGAGAATTCTCACAGCCAGCCTCCAGACTCAAAAACATTACTTCACTGTATCTACCGTGAAAGACACATCAAAGATGTCACCAATAAATCATTTTCCAGGGTTTTTATTTCATCTTGGCAAAAATAAGAGCTCTTCCTGCCTCTCAGCAGGAACCCCTTCCACCCTCACAAGTTTTTGAACTATAGAGAAATTGCTTTCTGAAGAATAACCACGAGTAAAAATAAGTTTTTTATTCCGCTAATAAAGCTAAATACAATAATAACTGAGGTGATACAACAATACTATTATCAGATGTCAATGACCACTGGTACCTCACTGACCAAGCAGCAAATTAAGTGAGCTCAGGATTACTGCAAAACCATTCACCAAAAATCTTTACTTCACTTGCACAACTCCGTCACTGTAATACCAGAGGCAAAGTGCACCTTTTATTCTTTTTAAAACAACAGAATAGAGCCACAGCGATCAAGAAAATGAAAATTAAGGAAGAATACTTTGGAAAACACTGTTTCAAGAAATTCTCAAGGACAACATCTGCTGAAAAAGTTTGTGCATGATGGAAGGTAGTCTGATAGATAAATAGCTTTGTTCTGGATCTTTTACATCACTGACTGCTTGAACTACAGCATTCTTAACTAATATGGAGCTATGCTGCATCTACCCTGTGTTTCTCTTACTGGAACCATTCTCCCACAGCTTACTTCCCAAGAGAAGCAGTTTGCAGGGGAGGGAGGGCAGAGTACATCGCATTTATGTGAAGATGTACACAATAGCCTCTTTTACAAAGAACAATTTTTAAGCCTGATTCTGAGTCTACGCCAAAGTAGAGTTCTCAGCACATTTTTTTAGTAAGATCAAACATCCATGGGTTTAACAAGATTGGAACAGCTGTGGCCTTAACCGGACTGCTTAGCTACTGGCTTTGTTTGACCTTAGCATATAAGCTGGGGCTCAGGAAAAGACTCCAAATATTACAGCCACACCAGACAAATAACACCTTTGACTTGGCTCATGGCAAAATGTATCTGGGAAATTCTTTACGAATTGAACAGATATAGCTGTTTTGAGTTCTAGGAGGTTCAGATGATGTTACAGTGGGCACACACATCCCAGCACAGATTAACAGGTTAACCTGCTAACAGGTTCTTTTAACAGTTTAGAATTAAACTGATTCTTACTGGAAGGTATTTTAGCTTTTCCTGTATCTTGTCTGCCTTACACCTGTGAATTTTTCCCACTCAGTTGCGTGGTTATCCAAGTTAGACAAACACCTTAAACACTGAAAATGTTACAAGTAATGCATTATTCCACTGATTTGAAATCTCTATTGATGTGGTTGATCTTTTTAATAAAATACTTTGAAGATGTAAAAAAAAATGCAAAATTTAGTTTTAACAAGTTACAGATTGGAAGTATCAAGTAAAGGTATTGCTAATGTCTTCCACAAGAGAATAGCTACACAGATACATAATACATTCTAATACATCATGATTCAGTGGGGCAATAATAAAATATATCAGAGAGATTTGTGATTAAGCTTCATCTGAAACTATGTATAAATAACGTGCTTCTATTTGCTTTAAAACTTGCACCATTTCACACAAAGAAAGAGATGGTTTCTCTAAGTATTGCTTACTTTGATCAAGAACTTTTCAGTCTCTCATGCTCTGCCTGTGAGGAGGGGCACAAGAAGCCGGGAGGGAGCAGAGACAGAACACCCAACTCAAACTAGCCAAAGGGGTATTCCATACCACAGCACGTCATGCCCAGTGTATAAAATGGGGGGAGTTACCTGGAAGGGCAGATAGCTGCTTGGGTCGGGCTGGGTATTGGTCAGTGGGTGGTGGTCATTTTTCAGTATTAATTAACTTTATTCAAAATCACACTTTCAAGTCACACAGATTTTTCATGGGGTTTTCTGTTTTTTCAAATTTTTATGACAAAGCCTTATAAAAGCTAGCAGACGAATACCTTTTCTCTCAGCCACTTTCCACTACTTGCCAGTATGAGGTACTAGTTGGAGCTTCCAGCAGGTCAAAAGCCAGACTTTTGATAAATAGTGTATATCTTTGAAACATGAACTACCCTTTTGACCACGGGTGACAAATACACATCAGGAAAGAAAAGTGTTGAATGAAATTTAAGCAGATGATTCAGATGTGAATTAATGCTACGCAGCTATGGAAGGGACACAGATTGTGACTTATGTATCTGAATTTCACCGTGTGAAATTACTTTTTTGCACTTTATGAAACATTTCCTTCATTTTCTACCATTCATGTTTTTCCAACAGCAACAGAATTTAAACCAAAATGAATTTATTAGTAGCACTGTTAAACTTGAAAGACAATATGAAGATTATGTCACTATTTTCTCACAGCAAAGGGATGCTATACACATTCTTCATCACTCAAGAAACACACCAGGCAATAGCAATATGATTTTAGCAGCATTGTGTCATCATTTATTAATTAACTCTTTCACTCAATATATTTAGGTCTCCTAAACTGTTCAAGGATGGATTCAAATAATCATATTTACACTTCCAATCACTTAGGACAGTAAACCAACTGCATAATTTCAGCAGTGTAGTGACATCTTCCAAGGGGAAGCTGGTTTCTTCAATATACATTAACTGCAATGGCTTATAGAATTAATGCTAGCAGTTCCAGCTTGTGAAGCACTCACGCGCTCTCTCTTGACACCACTGGGATTGTATCAGACATCTGGACTGCTCCCTCTACTCAATGTCTGTGCACAAGAAACATTCATAATGCTGTCCTCCAAACACTGGGAAATCATAATTCAAAACTCTCAGTACACTGAGATTGGCTTATATGCTAAAATGCTCTTAGAAGCAAAAACTAGGACCTGTTCTGCATCTCTTTTAAGGCTGTAAGCCTCTACGGTTCCCATCTTTCCACCACAGACAAAATTATAACAAGTTTAGTTTTTAAAAAGCAAGGTTACAGAATCATATACAATGTGGCTTCAAGGACCAGTATTTGAAGGAATCAGAGTTTTGAGCACTCTATTGTAACTGTAGTAGATTGACAATGCTTTTCTTGTTCACCTATACTGATATCTCACGTGTTCCTGCTTGGTATTAGAGCTCTCCTCCCCATTTTTCTAACTTCCTTTTGAATTTCTTGTTCATTTACCTAGGTGGAATTAACTGAGTGGGTTCTTTTAAATCTACTGAAGTGAAGGAACTTGCTGTGAACTGCAGGTTTAAAATTGGCTTTTAAGTGACAGATCTCATCTAACATTCTTGCACCACCACTTATTATTCAGTTTTCATAAATACTGTTTATATCCTCTTGCAGATGTACTGATTTGAAAACTGGACATCCTCAGTATAAACAAAGCTTTCCTAAGGTGGATCTCAGTACCTGTCAGTAAGTTTCTGCGTTGGCACAGAAGTCCAAAAAAACAGACTGCCTTGCAGACAGGAGCATTTCCTTGGCAAAACCAGCTTTAAAGATTATTCTTATTCATATAGAGCTATCAAAAACTTCAATTCTATCACACTACAAGCAGAAATATATGTTCAGTCTGCAGTGCCTTTTTATGGTAAATTGTGCTGACAAATTAATATAAAAATGGAACACGTAAGTAATAGAAACGTTTTATCAACTTTTATGAGCTTTTCATCATTTGTCAGATGAGCACAGACTTTTTATGGCTTTAACGTTCAGTTTCTAGTTAAGCCTCGGCTCAGTACTGTTTCTACTTTTCATTTCATTGTCAGGGACACGCGTTAGATACTGCTTTATCATTGTTTTACAGGTTTTCCACTGAAAAATGGTAAACTTTTTTACTAAAAACAAACCCGTTTTATGCAGAAGAGCACATATGTACCTGATGCCTCTACAGATGAAGCACAAAGGGCATTTGTAAGATATTAGATGTGAAATACAATTGAAATGAAATTGATTTTTATATATCTAATTATTACAAATAATATTACATTAGAAAGCATGAACTAATTGCTTTCTACATTTATGCCAGCATTTCACTTATCTCAAGGCATAATGCTGCATGGAGCCCTATATAATAAATATCTAAAAATCTACCATAGTACTCCCATACTGCAATTTTCAAGGTCAGTCTCTTTGGTGAGTGGGAATTACAGCCACTTATGATACAAATCAGTAGCAAGAAGCAGCCCAGCCATATGTATTTGTCTGAGAGCAGCTGACACTTGCCCGAGGTGGAAGCCAGCCAGCCAGCCACAGATGACAGATTGTCTGGGAGAGGTTTGGAGTCGGCCTCATGATGCCAGCAGCTGATCAGTAGCACTATAACCTGCACAGTCACCCTTATAAATTGGGTGGGCCAGTGCACACTAGTCGCCCCTCCTCACACTCCTGACACGCCCCAATAGAAGCAGCCAGCAGGTACCTACCTGCCATCGCCCCCCGCTTCTCAGGGAGTGTTTACCCGATCCCCTTCGGCCCCCGAGGCCTGAGCCGGGGCTAGCACCATGCTGACGGGCAAACCGGGGAGGAGAAGAACCGGGCCGGTTTTTGTCCCACGTGGGCTGATACTGCGCGGGGGAGACCCGGCACCGCTCACTCCCGCCGCGCCTCCAGACCTCATCCCCTGGCCCAGGGCACGGAGGAGCGCCCTCCCGGAATCACGGACTGGAGAGCCTTGCGCCTCCCTTCCGCTGCCGCTAGCGACACACTCAGCACAGCTGCCACACAACCCACTACCCTCCCATACCGCGGCAGCACGCCGGCGCCTTTACCTCTGCAGCGGCCCTCAACATGGCGCTTCCCTTCCGCTTCCTGCTCCGCGCCTGGGAGCGCCTCTGCCGTGTCCCGCAAGCGGGCGGGCCGACCTCAGGGGTTGAGGGGTTGCGCTCTTGCCCCCGCGGCTTCCCGTGAGCCCGGCCGGCAGCGGAGCGGTCTGGGGTGGGCGTGAGGCCGGAGGCAGGAACTCGCCTCGTAGGTTGGGCAGACCCGCTTGCTCCCGCAGTGGGTGATGAGCCCCCGAGCAGAGAAGGCTCGTCTCGTTGTCTGACGGCCATCCCCATCCTCTTGCAGCGTATTCGGTGTGAGCTCCTATGCTGTCCCCTGGGGCCACTGCAGGGCTGAAAGTAGCTCCGAGTGAGCCACGGTGTGCGTAGAGCCACAGTAGAAACAACCAGCTTTCCTAAGCAGCCTCCGGTGGGAAGGCACAGCTTCCACTGGGGCTACTGTCACATACTGGGTGTTGCTCCCTCTGACATGGCCATGGAGTTAAAGGGGCTCCGTGAACGCTGTCTTGGGATCCTTGTGCTAGGCACAGCCTTACCCTGGTGCACGGCAGTGTGGTGGTGGGAGCCCTGCTATGCTGATGGAACAGGAGCCGGACACAGGCCTTGTAAATGGGGCTTTGGGAGTGCTCGGCTTGGGGGAGCTAGAAAGGCACTTAGCCTTTGCTTAGCCCTGAGATGAATGAAAAAGTACAGGATATTTATATGATGTTAAAGTTTAACCTCAATGGTCCTTGAGCAAACATAGCTTGAGAAAGGCAACAAATATGATAGAAGGGCCAGCCTGGACAGGGCTTTGAGCAGTCTGGTCTAGTGGAAGATGTCCCTGCTCATGGTAGGAGGGTTGGAACTACAGGAGCTTTAGGGTCCGTTCCAACTATAACCATTCCAGGATTCTAGGCAAGACAGCATGACACAGAAACACAGGAAGTGGGGTAAATGAGTATCTTACCTAAGGCTAATGAAGAACAGAAAAAACAGTAAAACTAATTTTCAGCATTTTACTGCATTACTTTTGGTATACTCAACTAGTCTTTTGAATGATTCTATGGCAAACAGAGCTATTAGTATACATAGGGTTGAAAAAATAAATATCAAAATTACTTCTTAGGGTAACAGTTTTGGATAGTGATGTGTGCTGGACATACCAGATATGGCAATAAACACCTAAAAGTTGATGTATTTTAGCCAAAGCAAATGTATTTGTCATTGCCTTTATTGCAGTGCTTTCCTCTTTTGTATGTGTTACATAGGCATGCAAAATGATTCTGTAAAAGATTAACACTTTTAAAACTTCAGCTCTATAGCAAACGTACAGGTGTGCACTGGGGTTTGTTCTCGTAAAAGGTTGGTGTCGTATTTTCTTTCGTTTTGGTTTTATTTACTAATGAGGCTTATGTTGCCCTCTGCTGACAGTAAACTGAATTTACCTACCTGCACTTGCCAGGAGCGTTTCAGCATGAATGTCATGTACAGCAGACACACCTTTTCCCCTATTTTCACGTGATGAACATCACCAGTACTAATCATAAACGGGGCAAGAATAATCCTTGCATTATTGTTTACCGGGTGTAAAAAAATCACATAAGCAATTATTAAATACTTGTAATGAACCAGTGATCAGTGTTCATTGAGTGGTATCAGATCTCTCCTTGACAGTGCTGCAGTGGCTGCATTATATAGTGATAACTGAAGAACCCTAAATGATTGCTAATTCTGTGTAATGCTTAACTCACCATGTATTTGTGACGAACTCAAAAATTCATTAGTGATTGGTAGTGTGGTGTAGTGGTTAGCCCTGGCTAGCTGGAGGCCACAGTTGAGATCAGCCTTTCTTTTTGCCTTTTATGGCTCACACGGCAACAAAGTATGGGACAAAACCTATGCCAAAGAGTCCGTCGTTTTATGAAACAAGAGATGAAGAATTTGAAGCAGATGACATGACTGTCCAGACCTGGCACAATAAAATACTAGCAGTCCAAGCCTTCCAGGTCCAAGTGTTGTCATCCAGTGGCCTGTCTTACATATTTTTAAGTATTTTTGCAACATACATATATCATTAGCTCAGCAGCAACTATCATTACAATACTCCAGAGTTTGCAGTTAGTCTGTCGCTCCCATCATAAGGCTCTTGAATGCCTTTTCTCTATCTGTACTATTGTGAGTATGGTACATACAGGATTCATTATACCCTCAGCTGAAAGTGACTTGCCTACTTCAGAGGAATAGGGATTCCTTGACAGGAGGACACAAGAGGCAGCATGACTTGCTTCTTGTGATTAGCCCTCCTTTGTGCGGGGATCTGAACTGAGGATGCCTCTCCTGTGAGGAAATTCTTCTCACAAAGGTCAGCTTCTGCATCTCCATTAATCTGTTTTCTATCTAATGAATAAGAATGATCTAATGAATTGTTACTCCAGTTTCCCATTTATAAATCAGAGACGATGTTTTCTCAATTACCCCCAAAGTAAAACAAACAAAAAATGTGATAAAAATTACATACCCATTATATTAATGCATATGTTTACATGTGTGTTATGATATATATGTGTATCTCTGTTTGCATGGGGTTTGGGGATAAAATCAGTGCTAGTCTCACAGTGACTACTTCTTTGAGACTTTAGTATTGGCTATGATAAGTACCTGCTTCTCTAAAAACAGGCTTCTATTCAACAAAGTGAGATATTCTGACAGCTGATAGAGAGTTAGATATCGACAGAACTAGTTGGAAAAATGTTGGTCAAACAACGTTCATCACAATACTTTCAAAGTGTTTTATGGTTTGTTTTTTTTATTATTATTTATTTAATAATGGAATTTATTGATTTAGATACCAAACATTGCAATAGGAGGAAACATGAATATGTTCAGGGAGCAGTAAGAACCAGGTGCAAGAAAATATCCCTCACTGTATACAAGCATTCAAGGCTGGCTTTCATATTTTTCCTATGCTCCAGTTAGTGACTCTTCTCCCAAGTTCCCTTCCTTCCCTATTTGTGGGTTGCCTAATGCCGACTTTCTCCATTGTTTAGTTATGTAATGGCCAGTTTCCTTCAGTGGCAAGGTCTGTTCTCTCTTAAGAGAGGTGCTCAGATAAAGCAAATTGTGAAAGAAATAAAAAAGGGCCCATAGAAAGAGATGTCCTTGCTATGGCATTCATTTTCTGGTCCAGTGCTGTATTTCTGTCTGGAGAACTTTCTTCAGTTTGAAGGTTATCTTGTCAATAGGTCTTGAATTTATATTGGTTTTTGGCGTTCTCATAAAAAAAGCCTACAAAATCTGTCTATGATCTAGACATGCAATTCAGTTCATGAAAGGCTCTTTACCATTATGTGTGCAAGTAAGGAAAAAAATTACATAATGTGAACACTATAAGTGAATCATTATAATGAAATGAAATGAAATGAAATGAAATGAAATGAAATGAAATGAAATGAAATGAAATGGAGGACCAAAATATTTTAAAAAAAATCACCTCATCTTCCATCCTTAATTATATGTGGAAGAGAATCCTATACAAATCTTATGTCCATAGATTGTGAAAATCTAAGAATTGGGCAATACTTTGGGGCTCTGGCAGATTTAATTTTGTGAGAGTACCTCCCCTCATAGCATTTGAAGCATGTTCATTCACACAAAGAAAGAAGTCTTGAGTGGCTGCCTGTTTCAGGGGTACTGCACAGATTACTTAACTTGAGAAAAGTTTTTTTTCTGCTATACATCCACAGAAAACCAGTCTGATGTTGGTTCATTAAATATGAATTTGTTGTGCTAATGCTGGGGTTATTTACATACACAGTGCTCCCTCCCAAAAAGAAGAGCTCCCAAACTGTAATGACTACCACTGACTCGGGAAAGAAGTCCATTGACTCTCTGGAAGCAACCAGTAAGTAAATCAACTACAAAGTGGACCTGTGTTCCATCACTGCAGGACATGGTGGACAGCAATGTCAGTACAGGAAATACAGGAAAAATACATGGGAACTGAGTCTGGATGTAGGGCATTTACTTGCATGATCTGCTGTTTTGGTCATTTTTAGTGCAGAGCAATTCAAAGGAAATGCAGTCATTTTCAAATCATTTTTTTTTTTACAGATAGTAGCTAAATTGGAGCAACTGACTATATAAAGTTTATTTATTCCTGGTCCATTACTTTACAGCCATCCACAATTTATTTTCCCATCCCAGTTTTGTGCACAGTAGCCCAGTATCGCAATATTCTTTGCAATGACCTTTCAGTTTCATGGTTTTGAACCATGAAGACAAACTTTGCCACCTTGCTATTCACACTTTCACTCACATTTTCAATAAATTGCAATCATAGTTGGGCCATTCTGCAGGTGCCCCCTTGCCTCTAGAAAAGGTCTCTGGCAGTTTCCAAGAACATAAAGAAAATTAGAACTGCCATTATCTTTACATCTTGGGCAGGAAGGTGATGCTAATGAATAATTCACTGTAAGTGAGCATGTGACTTTTTGAGCACAGATCTGCTCTAGCACTTTTAAAACCTGCTGTGAACATTACTTAGTTTAGAATAAAATTAGTACTTGAGGGAGTAATTTTTGGGGGGAGTGTTTTTTAACTATAAGTTTTCTGATAATGGCATATATTTCTCGAAGTTTTTTTATCAGTGTTTTCTATCATTTTATCATGTTCGTGACTGATGGGTTTTTATGCTATATTATTGTAAATTGAGCCATATTTTCAGGTGAGAAGACAACTCAAAAATACCACTTACTAAGCTATCAACTATAGCAAGAAAACTGTAATACTGCAGTGAGTCAA